GTTCCCAATGGAGGAGTTAGAGAGAAAACTGAAGTTGCTGAAAGGGTTTGCAGCCCCATGGGGAGAGCAACAATACCAATGAACCAGAGCCCCCAGGGTCTAAACCACCAGCCTGGGAGCACATAGGGAGGGACCCATGGCTCCAGCTGTGTATGTAGGGGAGGATGGCCTTTGTGGGGCATAGGTGGGAGAGGAAGTCCTTGGATCCATGAAGGTTGGATTCCCCAGTGTGGGGGAATTCAAAGGTGAGGAGGTGGGAGTGGGGGAGAGGTGGAGGCACATCCTCATAGAAGCAGGAGGAGGGGGATAGGATGGGGGTTCTTGGGCATTGGGGAAATGGGGTAAGGGATAGCATCTGAAATGTAAATAAAATATTCAGTAAAATAAATTTTAAAACAAAAGAAAACTCCACATACAGAGGGCCTCTCTGGTGGAAATCATCAAATGTTTAAGGAAGAGATAACATTGCAAAATCTTTAGGAAGAAAGAAAAAGGAGCTTCCTAGCTTCTTGGGCAAGATCGTGTTGGAATGCGTGAAGAATATTTCCCATTTTATTTACTTAGAGCAGCTTAATTTTTGTATCATAACTTTGATATCAAAATTCCTAACAACGATATATTAGCACATGTAAACCAGCTATGTATGTACAGATAAAACATGCACAGGTTGGGTTTATCCTGGAAATGAGAGACTCGTTTTTTAACATTTAAAAGGAAATTGATGTGATTGAACTGTATTGAAAGAATAAAGGAAGAAAACACATAGCCATCTTAACAGATGCCAATGAAAGTATTTGATTATATTTAACAGTCACTTCTGATGAAATAAACAACATCAAACTTTTCACTTAATATGAAAATTATCTACATCTGATTACACCCACACATACACTCACGTGTGTGTGCATGTGTGAATCTTTGGAAATACCACATCATATTGAAAGAATGAACATTTTTCCTCACAATTTGAGCAAAGAGAAAATTTTCCATTTTTATTGTTTGGTTTAATTTGAACTATAGTTCATTGAAGCAAGAAAAAAAAACAAAAAAGTATATATGCTGAATAATTTTTTCAATAAATTTAATAAGACCAAAATAAAAGATATGCAGATCTGCAGCTTGGAAATAATCTCCACTAATACAGCAGTACATAGAAAATTCTAAAATATTTTTTTAAAAACCTACAAAAATAGTGAAATGTATCAAGAAAACACTATAGCAACAAAAATCACCAACAAAATATTTAAATGTGTACAAGTATTAGCTTTTAGAATAGACTAAAAAGCAGGAAAAACATAAGGGAAAAAAATCACACAATATTTGCTAGACAGGTACAATAAAAATAGTGTAGCAATACTGAAAGAAATTTAAAAAAGAGCACACCATGATCATAACTGTGCTGGTAACCTTAATCATTTAAAACTTCTGATACTGACTGAAATAGATCTATAAGTTCGATTTAGTCTCAGCAAATTATTATAAACATCTTCAAGTAGTTTCTAAATTTCATATGGAAATACAACTGAAAGCAAGTGATAGAATTAATACTATTTAATTAGGTATCAAGTAAACAGAAACAAACCAGGTTGCTGTAGGCAAGCTAAGAGACTTCAAACCAAAGTTAACTGTTGTGGTAATTATTTAAAATTGGCTGCTTGTTAATCCGACTATCTAAGCTGCAGCGGCTCTGCTTAGCCCAGCCACCATGTTTCTCGGCATGAGGCCATGTGCGCACTGCAGCTAGAACCGACATCAGCCCTGCCACCCACTAGATGCCAGCGTGAGGGATGGCTCTGCCAATCTTCCACGTTGTTTCTGCAAGGCTGGGCATTAGTCAGACCATTCTGCCATCCATGCGGGCCCAGTAAGAGAATGAGACTCTAATTCTTATAGATTAATCAAAGGCTTTATATGTTTGATAATGATTAATAACAAGATGCCCATACAAAGAGAGTTGTATCCCAATTAGCTAACCTAATTATAAGTTTATAAGTTGTTCCCCACGAGTGCTCTCCATACCTATGTGGTTCTCCATCCTCCTACATCTCTGCCCTCTCTAGCTCCTCCTCTTCCTTTTTTCTCTTCCTCTCTCAACTCCTCCTCTTCCCCTCCTTACTTCTCCTACCTTAGCACCTCCTACAATTAATAAAGACAACCATTATATACAAGTCAAGTGACCTAACAATGATTTAACAATTGTAAGTGTAACAATGCGTTCACTGAATATTTGAGCCTTTAAAATCATAAATTAAACAGCAATGTGCATTAAAGTTCAGACATATGCTGAGATAATCAATATGCCAGATATCAACACCCTATTTTTATTCTCAGAAAATGGACAAAGTAAAAGTCAGCAAAGAAGGTTCAGACTTTAAACTGTATCAAAGACCAGTCAGAATTAATAGATAGCTAAATAAAATTCTCCCCAATGTATACAAAATATACATTCTTCTACTCATCCTGCAGAAGTTTTTTTTTATCATAGATTGTAAAGTGAGGCTAAATAAATACAAGAGAATTGAAATAATTCCTTGTATCTTGTGAGACAGTGGAATAAAGCTAGAAACAACCACAAATACCAACACACTATAGAAAGAGCAGTGAGTCATTAAATAAATCAAGGAAGAGACTTTAAAATTGCTAGTAGCAAGTGAAAGCCACAAGACAACTTACCAGAACTCTGGGATACAGATAAGACAGTTGTTATTGGTAAGTATAAAGCTGTAAGTGCCTACATTAAAAAGAAAATTCAGGATCACTAGTAAATAATCTAGGACCATCCTTTAAATGTTCTAAGGAAAAAACAACAAGCTAAACCTCAAAGAAGTAGGGATCAAGAACCAACAAAGGACAGGGCACAAACTAACAGACCAGAGGCTACAGGAGTACCATTGTATCAGTTTAAAAAGAATGCGTTTCTTTGAAAAGATACACCAAATTGAGAAACTCCCAATCAAACTAACCAGAGAGAGAATCTAGAATTAGAGATGCCACACAGGCTGTTATCGAAGAATCCAATTAAACTTAGAGAATATTTCAAAAACATATTCAATGAAAGCAACTGAAGACTCTGAAGGAAATAATTTCCTAGGCATATATAACTCACCAAACTTAGACATAAACAATTTACAAAGGCTCATAACCAGGAATGAAAATGAAGCAATTTTTTTTAAAAAAAGTTTGTTCACAAAGCAAAATGAATAAATGAATAGATAAATAACAAGATTAGTAACATTTACTACTGGATGCCTTCCTACTCCCGCAGACAGGTTTCTCTTTGTAGCCTTGGCTGTCCTGGAATTCCCTTTGTGGACCATATTTTCCCAATTCTCAGAGATCCACCTACCTCTGCCTCTAGAATGCTAGGATTAAAAGTGTGTGCCACCATTCCTGACACTATTGAATGCTAATGAATCTTTATGGAAGAGCCTATAGCAATACTTCTCAATATATTCCATGTATTAAAAGGGAAGCAACACTACCAATCACATTTTGTGAACAGTACTACTCTGGTGGTAAACCACGTAAGGCAAAAGAACACTATATACCAATATTGGCAATGAACATAGATATAAAATGACTCAGAAAAATACTTTTAAAAAGAACCTATTAGGAAAATTATAAACTATAGCCAAGATTTCATCCCAAGTATGCAAGATTGGTTCAACATATGCAAATCAATAAAAGTAATTTACCACATAAATATACTTAAGAACAGAAATCGCAAGATAATCTCAGTAGATGCAGAAAAGGCCTTTGACAAAGTTCAACATTACTTTATTAATTACATAATATACAGTATTATGTCACTTACATATAATTCATATATATGTAAATACTATAAGAAACACCGTAAGAACCATTGCTTTGTACATTAACTTTAATTAAATTATAGAAAAATAAATAAAAGGACAAAGTTATAGAAAACACCCATAGACAAAGTATATAGAGGGGCCGAATACAAGGACATTGTGGGCAAGTGATTATAAAATTTTAGGTATAGAAAATTTCATCACTTCAGATTTTACTTCTCTGAAGTACTAGGATTTCAGTGACAAAAACATAGTTTTAAAATAAAGACTCAAAATTGAGTACTGGAGCAAAAAAAAAAGAAAGAGGAAGAGAAAGAGAGAGAGAAAGAGAGAGAGAGAGAGAGAGAGAGAGAGAGAGAGAGAGAGAGGAAAAGAAAGAAGAAAGAAAGGAAAGAAGAAAGAAAAAAGGAAAGTCCAAATGTCCAAATGAAATGTAAGTCCTTAAGGATGAAACCATGGAATAGAGAGGAGGCAATCAATCAATCAATAAACAAATAAATAAATGGGAAATCTCTGCTGTAAAGAAAAGGTAGGGTATGCTGTAAAATGCCATGAGTCAGAATTGCTGACTCTCTCGGACTCTATCTTGTCAAGTATTAAGATAGACTAATGCTTTCCTAATGTTCATCATCTTCCTCCATTGACCAACTTTTTTTTTATTAGTGCGCATGTGTTTAGCTTTCAAACTTGAAAAGGGCTGGCTATTTAGTCCAATATGTGAACATGTAAGTTTTAATTTAGTATTTAAACATAGTATTTCTCATATAAGAATTTAAAACTTCTAAATTAAAAGCAGTAGTTGCTTGCAGTTCCAACCTTCTTTACATATGTGTTTCCAATATCTTGCTACAGTTTCTAGAAAGGCTACATCGTGTACTTTTTGTGTGTGAATGTATAAAATTTTATTTTGTGATATTTGCTCTATTAAAATTAATGACACCTCCATGCAAATGAACGAAAACAAAAGTTAAATTTTAAAAAAAGCACTATCCTCCTCTTACCAGCAGAGGGCGCTGGAGCCGTGTGCAACATAGGAGCCTCTCATTCTCTAAGCATGCCTTGAGCGAGGTAGCAAAGTTTGTCTCCTTCGGGCATCCGTCAAAGACAAGCGTCTCAGAAACGGAAATGTGGGTGGGATTTGCCCCACTAGGAGGCGGAAGCGGAAGTGTTTGTGACCGGCTAGTAGGAAGTGGTGTTTCCGGGAGTGGAGATGGCTGCGCTGGCCCCGCTGCCGCCGCTGCCCGCGCAGTTTAAGAGCATACAGCACCATTTGAGAACGGCGCAGGAGCATGACAAACGGGACCCCGTGGTGGCCTACTACTGTGAGTCCTTCCGAGTCCGCGCCTCCCTCGGTTCTTGAGGCCCGCCCCGCCCCCTGGCTTTGGACCTGAGCCCTGACCTCTGGCCAGCCCAAGGAAGCCCCACGCACCAGAGTGTCCCCCTTTTCCCCACCCTCACCCCCTCCTCTCCTGCTAAGTGCCTCGGAACTGACTGCACCCACTCCGGGGTACTCTGCACATGCCTCCCGGCTTTTCTGTGTATACACCAAAGCTACCTCTTTTCTGGGAATGATAACCTCGATAGTCGAGCCTTTGAGATGGGGTGAAACGCTCGTCGGTTTCCGAGAGATGGGTAGGAAGGGAGACTAATAGAAAACATAACAAAAACTGTACATTAATTACACGAGAGCTTTCAGGTCAGTTCCAAAACTCATAAACGGTTCAGTGTCTACTACTGAAAAATTTGAATTTGACTGTTCTTGACTTGTTTTCCCATACTCTTCATTACCACCAATAAGAATTTTTAGTCATCCTTTAGCTTTCCTGAAAGTTAAGAAGTTTAACAATATTCCTAGTTTGAGATGTACATGCTACTGTGCCGCTGAAGGGGAAACAGGTTGAACCTCGTTCAGACTTTTAGAGTTGGTAAAGTGGGTAGAACTAATAGTTTTATGTAAACCATATTTTGAATATTATATCTTTGTTGCAAGAAGTGGCTGTGCTACTCTGAGCTTCTGAAGAACTTTCAAAATAGAGAAATGATGTGTCCTCCGTTGTGGACATTGTTAAGGATGTTGTTAGCAAAAATCTGGACCACCTCATTTCTGAAATGTGCATGCATGTCCCACCACCACCAGTAATTGCCATACTTCATTTGATTTAAGATCTGAATTCTCACTTCTTCTGCAAACCACAAGGTGACTATACTCCACTTTTATAAAATTCGTAAGAGTATTGTTTCCACCATGCTTGTTCTTTTGAAAATCATCAGACATATCCTAATAACCGTTCATGCAGCAGGTAATTATTGACCCTTTTTACCTATTCTCAAGCATTCCTGAGTTTAAAAAAAAAATAATGTTCATAGTACTACTGAGAAGAGGGTTTGGACAGTATTTGTGCACTATACAAAGTAAGCCAGGAAGGGGAATAGAAGTACCACAGTAGTGTAGAGGGGACCTCATTTTCCTGTGTTCAGAGACACATTGCTCAGGTGACAATTGAAGCCAGATCTTTGTGCATAATTGTCCAGAATATACTTTTAGAAGGAATAAAAATCTGAAGGTCCAGAGGCAAAATTAACAGAGGAGGAACTAGGATCCTGAGTGTAGAGCCAGAGAGAAATTGGTACAGAACAAAGAAGCTGACTCTCACTGTGGACCGGGGCCCTTTGTTTCCCTCTAAGCTAATTCTTATTCATGCACCTGTTACTGTGCACCTTTGTGACTACCCAGGAACTTTTCCTTCCTGTGTCATTATGTTCATTCCTGCCCTTTGTTCTAAGCTTGTTCCCCTGTTTTCTTTGTTAAGAAAAAAAAAAAAAACGAAAACACAACAACAACAAAAAAAAAACCAACAAGAGAAGTGCTTCTCATGGCACTCCCCTAAAATTGAGCCTTACAGCTCCCTGTCAAAGGTAAACTTGAAATGGGAATCCACTCTTGTCCTAACCCTTTCTGGTGAGGACCTTTTAGCCTGCTGTCATCTGTTTTTTATGGGTGCTTTATTTCAGTGGAATCCCTTCTCCTTAGAGTCATGAGTGAGCGTTTTTATGACAAAGTCGATTGGGCTGTCATGCAGCTTCTGATATGAGACCTGCATAATATCTATACAGAGTTTAAGGAATGATAGGAAGGTATGAATGTACTCAAATTTGATGTTACTGAAGTTTTTAATTTTTGCTGATGTGGTGGCTGTGAATGCAGTCTCTTTGAAGTGGTATTTGCAATTCTAAGCCTTAATGAGGTTCAGCTGTATTCATATGTTAATTAAGCATGTGCTTTTCTTTTGAACTGCCTTTTTGTTGCTTTTGCCATGCTTCTATTGAAATGTCATTTCCTAATAATATAGACTAATCCTCGGTTGCAGGTATTGCAGCGATTTTCTCCCAGTTCACAATCTGGTTTTCCTTCAAGAAGTTCTTTTTCCAAAATACTTGATATAAATTGTCAGTTTCTAGGATACATTCTAGTTTGTTAGGCCTTGATTTCTTTTGTGTCCTTACTTGGGATTTTGTTTCTTAAGACTGTAAATGGATCTCTTATCAGTTATAGAAATTTAATGTTGTTGATGCTATTTTATTATCGCTATTGTGAAGTTTCTATTACATGTGTGTTATCCTTTGCCACTTAACTGTCTTGTCTTAATTCTCTCATCTATTTCATTTGTGGTATGTTGTGTAAATCCTTAAAGCCTTTTCTTAACTTCCGCAGATCTGTTGCTTAATATAGCTATTGAGTTGATATCAACTTTTATTTTTTATTTCTGACTATTGTTTGTTTTCAAATCTGTCTAGCCAATTATGGTAGTTTCTTAGTACTGAGTTCATCTTTAAACCTTTTAATTACATTCCTCCACATGCACCTGTATGCTCTAAAATCCTAAAGGCTATTAATGTCAACATGATGGCACAAGTAAAAAAATATTCTCACTGAGAAACATTGTCTCATGCTTCAGACTGCTGAAATATATAAATTTTCTGCCCATGCTAGAGAGATGGGTGCTGAGAGATTGCTCAGTAGGTGAAGTGCTTACTATGCAAACATGAGAACTGAGTTCAGACCTCCAGCACCTGCGTAAAAGATAGCATGACGTAGCATAAAAGACTCATGGTAGGGTGAGTCTGGGAAGCTGGACAGAAGCTTTCTACCATATGACCCAGCCAATGGGCATAAACTCCAGGTTCAATGAGAGACCTTGTCTCAGAACATGAAATGGAAAGCAACAGCAGAAAACTCCTATCTTTGATCCCTGCCTCCATTCATCCCTGCAGAAGGATGCAGACATATGCACAAAAAGTTATCTGCAGTCTCTGTGTATAAAATACGTTTATGAAATGAAACTATGTATTGACTTGGATCCCTAGTACAGATACCACTATAATTAAAAATTTCCAAGAGTATGAAATTCAAAACATGTTTTGTTTGTTATATTTATTCCTGAGTAATTATGTGATTTTAAAAAAGTGACTCCTGGACTTAATAGGATTCTCCTATTTTGTTTTGTTGTTGTTGTTACCTTAGTAGTCTTACATTTCTAGGTTGCTTGCTCTTTTGTTCTTCTTTAAAATCAGAAGATAATGCCAAAATAATGTGTTAGATTATGTTTGTCCCTCTTTAGCAGTACTAAGGTATTTGTTGTTTACTTGCTTGGACTATTTAACATAGTCAAAGAAAAGTAGTGAATTCACCATAATTGAAAAATCTGGGGGCTGGTGAGATGGCTCAGCGGTTAAGAGCACTGACTGCTCTTCTAGAGGTCATGAGTTCAAATCCCAGCAACCACATGGTGGCTCACAACCATCTACAATGAGATCTGGTGCCCTCATATGGGTGTCTAAAGACAGCTACAGTGTACTTACATATAATAAATAAATAAATTTAAAAAAAAAAAAAAAGAAAAGAAAAATCTGTCCATTCCAAGAATGAATCACATAAATTTGTCTTGTGTTGTTTGTTTTTCAAACATAATCTTCGTAGCTCTGGTTTCTCTCCAGTTCAACAAGACCCACTCCTGACTGCTGAAATTACAGGTGTGAGGCACCGCGGCCAGCAAGTTTGTTTTTAATTAGGCGTTTTTCTTTTGAGGTCACATTTGATACATGTGCAGGTGTAAGAAACAATACAGAGAAAGCCTGTTGTTCCCAAAACTGCCATTATGACGACTTAGCCAGAAAATTGAAATTGGTGCAGTCCACTAATGTTCTTCTCAGATTTCAAGTCTTACACATATTTATTTATGTGTATACACACTTAATTCTAAGCAGTTCCATCTGTATAGGTTCCTATACACAGTCAAGACACAACAGCCTAAGAATTCATTATGGAAAGCATGGCCTATCGGCAATAGGATGCCCAAACAGGATTTGTCCATGGAATACACTTGGTTTATTCATACAAAGATTCCTTATAAAAATCATGATAGTATCAAAGTTAAATAGGCATCTTCCCAAGTGGTGAACAGTTGTTTGGGCAGAAATGCTGCTGCAGAGTTCCAGTGGTGATTCTTCTCCTGCAAGGACTCCCAGAAGCTTACAGCCTCCACCTTCAGTTGTGGCAGGCAGTGAGAATGGCACTTGGTGGAAGTCCTGGAGGTCAAGTGGGCCCAGTGACAATACTGGAAAGTTCAGTGGTCACCAAGGTCAAGGCCATCTCTGCACAGTCTCAGGTCCTCCTGCCAGTGAGTATCAGCACAGAAGCTAGAGAAGCCATGTTTTAGGAGCAGTGTGACCCTAGAGACTATTTGGTAGCTTTGTGTCCTCAGAGCTCAGAGCTTGGGACTGGTTCACTAGCACATCAACACTACTTTAGAGTCAGGTCATTAAAATATCAAGGCCTGTCCTGGGCTAGGCTCCTGTCTGAGGTATCTGAGCTGCCAGGTAGCTACCCTGCCTAGAGCTGGCTTTTGAGGAATAGCTCTTATTAGAGATGGCTGATTGCAATCTCAGTCATTGTATTATTCAAATGGTTTATATGTTCCTTACATCCATCATGGTGCCCTTTACCATATCTACCTCACTCTCCATGCATGTATGTATAGACATTCAATCTTTTATGTGTTTACTACAGCTTAGCAATTTAACTGATGAAGGACATTCAGGTCATTTCCTGTTTACATTATGAATAAGCTAACATGGTCACCAAGGATTTCTCGGAGATAAAAAGACTGAAACTAATTCTTTTATCATCTTAGTTCCCGATTACAAGCAGTCTGAATGACAGCTGGTGCTGGGAATCTGAACTTGCTTGCACAAACTTCCTGTGCTTGCAAATGAACCTTACCATTGAGCTATCTCCCTAGCCCAGTGTTTACAGATGTAAATC